GGTGTGTCATGGTTTGTCCTCAGAGATCCTTTTCCTAGTCATTGATAATAACTGACTTAATCGACCTAATAATATCACTATTAAATTTAACAGTGATGTCTTATACGGGTCGAGAGGCAACTCCGGGAACGATCTTGACTATTATCTCTATTTTATTACTTTTCTTAATAAATCTTTTAACTCCAATCATCAAAACACTATACTTTGTAAAAGTATCACGGTTGGGATTAACGTTTGAAGAAGAATTAACAATTGGATTATGGGGTTTTTGCGCACATATTAATGGTGCACCAAAGACATGCACCTCGACGAAGATAGGTTTTGCTTTTGGTAAGTACCTTTTTCTTATTTTATTTATTTATTTTTTTTTGTTTTCAAGTTACCGACCGTATTATAATGTAAGGTTTCCGTGTGATGAAATTCAAATCTTTGAAAGTATTAAACGAATATCGAAATGGTTTCGAATATAAAAAAAAAATCATTTTCGATTATTCGTAACCATCGAAAAATCATTCGATTATTTACACCAAATATTTATTTTTAAATAGAAATTAGGTAGCTGAAAGTTATTAAGATTTTCTAGCCTTTTCAATATTAATTTAAATCAATAAATACAAACTAATTATATTTTTAATGAATTCTGATTCAAAGCATTCACATCATCACTGAAAGTAAAATGATTTTCATTAAACATTACAAACGAATATCCAAGCATCCCTATTTTCAAACGGAAACCCATATTATAATGTAGTAATGTAATATGAAGTTGGTATAAAATTTTTTTCAAGATTTCTAAACTATATACATATTTAAATAGATCCTAGAAAATCACTGAATCCTAATTTGATTCCTGGTGGTCTTTCCAAAGACTTACCTGAAGCAGTAAGCACATCGTTAAGCTATTTGGTGGTGGTTCATATACTTGGTAATTCTTTTTAATGATTGATTTATCCCCCCTTATTGTAAAAGGAAGAAATTAATTGATCATTTAAATTTTTTTTTTTTTTTTCATTTCTATAGCGTTGATTACATTATCAATTGTATCTTGTGTTGGCGTATTTGCACATAGACGCAAAAATCGAGATAAAGGACTCATAAAAGTAGCGGCACAAAGTTCAACACTTGCCTTTATTTTAGTTCTTTTCGCATTTATAATAGATTTCATATTGTTTAATAATGGAATTGTGAAACCAATAAATAAAATGGTTGGGAACGTTTATACAGCAAAATTGGATAACGCGTATTATCTGATGATTGTTTGCCTGATAAGTTCTGGTTTGGCTACGATAGGTTTCTTAGTAGGTAAAGTTATGAATAAACGAAGAAGAAGAAAATCTGATGATGATGATAAATATGATAATAGAGAAACGATTGAACCAGCTTATCAAAGACCTAATAACGAAAGGGTACAGAATCCAAATCAAAATAATATTCCGCAATATGCTGAATATGAAGTAGAAGAAATTAGACAATCTCCATCACCTGTAAATCGTCCTTTACCATCAAACCCTGGTGTAAATTATTCCAATCCAACACCAATCTTACCTGGACCAAAAACTGGTGCGGATTATTTCAATCCATCACCATACGCGCCTGGACCACAACCTGGTGTAGAATATCCCAATCCATCACCATACTCACCTGGACCTCAACAAGGTGTAGAATATTCCAATCCACCATCATTCGTGCATGGACCTCAACAAGGTGTAGAATATTCCAATCCATCACCATACTCGCCTGGACCTCAACATGGTGCAGAATATTCCAATCCACCACCATTCGTGCCTGGACCTCAACATGGTGTAGAATATTCAAATCCATCAAATCCATTTGGGCCTCAACCTGGTTCAGAATTTTCATATCAATCACAAATTGGTCCAACGCCCTATCAAGGACATACGAGTCCTATTAGACGTACCCCTGGAACTGGTATACAAAATCAATTTGCTTATTCACATCAATCACCTCATCAATCACCTTCCTACCCAAATGCGTATGATCCATATTCAACCAATTCACCGATAGATGATTATCCACAAGATCCACAAGATGGTTATCCACTTTCTTCCAATCAACCATCTTATACGAATCCTAATATATATCACGATCAGTCAGAATATCATAAACCTCCTGGAAATTATTATAAATCATAATATATCACATTTAATTATTTGTATTTTTTTTTTTTTTTTTTTTTTTTTTTTTGTATTTTAGATAATAGATTATTATTATGTACTGTATTATTGTATTATGTGTAATATATTAAATATATTTACTGTTTAGTGTAACAGGTTGATTTATTCACGTTTGTATCTTACACTTGAAACGAATTAAATTAATCTCTAAAAGGTTTACCTTGGATATATTTAGTTCAAAGATGAAAGGATTATTTTTGAAAAATTTGTTGGAATTCAAAGTTGAATTATCAATTGCGAGAATCTTGCTCAGATGCATTATTGGGAGGTATTTACTTTAAAATACGCAAAAAATAATAATAGAAAACTTCCTTTACATTGCCCTTTTAGCAGCGAGGTAGTCATCATCACGTGATCGATTAGAAGATTCCACCGAATTAATGAATTTATTATGTTGCTACCTTGATCAAAGGCAAATCTCCGAGGAGAGATTTTAGCCATATTTAATGAGTCAATGATTTTTACCCCGAAGAGGAGGACCCCAAATTCGAAAGGAAATATCACTAATTAGTTACATTCAATGAGATGGTTTTTTTTTTTTGGTTTTTTGACTGAGATCACCCTATTGATATGTAAGGTATTCTTTAAAATATTTCCAAAATTGTAGTTAAATTCAGACTTAGTGTAACAAGTTGAATGATCTTTGTCCCAATTTTAGTTTCGCAGTAAAATTTCCTTTGTTCTGTTCAAACATTGAAAACTTACACAACGACACAACGACACAAATAACCTCAAAACTTTATCTGTCTTCTACTTTTTTTCTTTCTAAATCACATCAAGCATAATCATTTAAAATGAGTACTAGCGCTGCTGCCACTAACGATGATAACAAAAAGGTTACTTTGAAAAGTTGTGACGATGTGGAATTCAAAGTAGAAATACCAGTCGCAAGTCGTTCAATCTTGCTTAAGAACATGATAGAAGGTAATATGTTAAAATAAACATCTGCAAAATATCATATAAGGGAAAAGGATAAAAAAGTTCCTTTAGATTATCTACTTTTCATAGCATATGTCTATTTCCTTCCTTTTTTTTTTTTTTTTGTCTTTTTCTCTACTTAAATTTACCTTAGCTTTTTAACGCGTTTATATTTATTTATTTTTTGTTAGACGTTGGGGAAACTGATCAATCAATTCCCCTTCCAAACGTCAACGAAAAAGTGCTAAAAAAGGTAAATTAAATAATAATTCTTACATATATTGGTTTTATTTTTTTATGTTAAAACGTTGTGAGTTGTAAATTCTTCATTAATTATTTTCATCTAGGTCCTGGAGTGGTGTCAACATCACGTAAATGACCCTCAACCTACGAATGACGATGATGACTCTCGTAGGAGAAATACCGAAATTGATGATTGGGACCAAAGATTTCTAAGTGTTGAACAGGATATGCTGTTTGAAATCATTTTGGTAATGAATAATAATGATGATAATAATTTTTTTTAATCTTATGTTTCCTATTTGATCGTTAAATTAACTATTTTTTAATAAATTTTAGGCTGCAAATTATCTGGATATTAAGCCATTATTGTAAATTATTTATTTAATTTATTATTTTGTAATTGTTTATTTTCTCTTTTTATAAATTTATTAATTCATTGTGTATATTATTATTTTTTTTTTTTTTTTTATCTAAACTTTTAGAGATATCGGTTGTAAAACTGTCGCCAATATGATCAAGGGCAAATCTCCAGAAGAAATTCGTTCCACATTTAATATAGTTAATGATTTTAATTAAATGATAAAATATTATTTTTGAATAATAAAATCATTGTTCAAAAATAATAATTGGTTGACCTGAATTTTGTCAAATCAGATTAGATCAACCTATTGATCTAATCTGATATTAATCTAAAAATTTATAGATCTGATCTAGATTTTTAAATCAAGTCAATTCAGATAAACAGGTTGATCTGATCTGATTTAAAACTCTAATTATTCTTCTTAATTTTTTTTTTCTATTTAAAAATTATAAATTTATTAATAATTTTTTTATCAATAAAATTAATATATATATATATATTATTTATCTTTATTACAATTTAATTTAAGATAAAATATATAAGTACTTATAAGATTTTTAATAATATTTTTAATTTATTCATCTGCTTTCAAAATAATCATTTATAAAGACTTATACCATTTTTTCAAATAATTTATAATAATCATTAATTTTATATTACAATTTATCTAAAATAATAATAATCCATTTTGATTTTCATTTAAAATTTCTATTACTCTATATAATAAAAATACTATAAAGTATGTATCTGACAAGTATCTCTAATAATCAAAGACTTATATATTTAAATTATTATTTTCAATATTTTTATATATAATAAAATAAATTAAATTATTAATTCTTACTTATAAAACTACAGTTAACCCCTCTCTAAATGCATTCTCTCAGAACTATAGTGAAAATTTTAAAAAATATGCATTTAAAGAGGATGTGCATTTAAAAAGAAAATTTTTATATTGTCAACAGAGCAATTGACCAGTTATAATAAAATCACGTGAATGACGCAGTATGATGATCTCTTAATTCAGAATTCTGAAAATACTAAGAATTCTGCAAATTCTGAAAATATGGAGGATCTATGTAATTCTGAAGATCTTTCAAATACTGATGATAATCATAATTTACAAATTAAATAAAGTCTAAGAATATTTAGTGTTATACGTATTTTTAATATTCTCAATATATTTAATTTATTTTACTAATATTTTATTTTGCTAAATTAGTTAGTTTATAGTATAGTAAATAGTTAGCTATGACAAAAGAAATTTTGTATAAATAGATAAACTTTTTGCTTATATTGTAAATTAACTATTTTGCAAATACGAGTTTTAATATTAATAAAGGAATTAATTCAAAATTTATATCTTTCTGCCTCTTTGTGTTTTCATATAGTCTGACGTGATCCTTACACATTATTTGTAATTGAGTTCGTCATCTAAATTCTTTAATTAAAATTGTTTATAATCTCGTCTTTCAAGTCTTCATATTTAGTAAATTTGTTTAAGTCTAACGCATAAATTTGATATAGTTAAGAGTTAGGTAAATCCTAATATCTTAACTGCAGTAAGCCGCAGTTAGAAATTTCAAATAGAGACTTAATAATGTGACTACCTTGAGTTGAAGAATTTCATAGTGACAATATGAATTCTATATGCTTAAGACTAAACAAGAGTATGCATTTAGAGAGAAAATATATAGTGTGTGCATTTAAAAAGAATGCATTTAGAGAGGGTTGACTGTATTTATTTTTTATTTTATAAGTTTTTTTAAACAAAATCTTTATTTTATAATCTGTAATTATTAAAGCTTTATCTAATCAAATTAAAAGAATTATATATAAAATTGTATATTAAGATAATTTTTAATTTATATACATGATAAGCTATAAAAATAATTAATCAATTTAATAATCTAATAAATTTTCTTATTATTCTTTTTTAAAATTCTAATATAAAATATTAAAAATAATAAAAATATTCTCAATTATTATAAATATTTAGATGATTTAAATAATATTTATCAAATGCTTTACATAAATATTGACTAATACATATTATCAATACTTAATATAGTAAACTCTTAATAAAATGAATTTTTTGAATAAATATAATAAAAAACTCTTATTATAGTGAATTGGTCAATTAAATCTCTTAAAATGTTCATTATAACCTTATAGTAAAGTTGAAGTATAAGATATAGAATTCATTATAAAAAGGGTTAACTGTAAATTATATTTTGCATAACTTGATAAATCAATATTTAATTCTTTTAGAAAGTTTTATATAAATAATTATTTAAATTTTATAATTATATTACTAATTTCTTTTAAATTATAATCTAAAAGATTTCTTAAGATAAATTTATAATACAGTAAAAAAGATCTACAAAATAATTTACAGAAAAATAATAAATAAAATAGATAAATAAATAATCAGCAGGATAAATTAATATAGAAAAATAAAATCATTAGTTATGATAATATGCATAATATACTTAAATTAGATATATCAAAAAAAATCTAAAGAAAAAATCTAAAAAGAAAAATATAAAAATAATTAGAACATTTTAATAAATTAATTTATCATAAAGTATTAATCTACCTTGAATTTTTTTTACAAATCCACTCTAAATTTGTAAAATACTGAATAACTTAATCAGAGATACTTTGATAAAAGAAGGGTTTTTTAAAAGATAATTATATAATATATAAATTAATGTAAATTGTAATAACCATAAAATTCAGTATATTTTGTATTATATTTTATTTATATCATATTTATGATTTTTTTTTAAAAAATAATCATTATAGACAATTAAAAGTTTAAATATTCTAATTACTTTAAAAAATTCAAATAATATTTGTAAAATAATAAAATATTTTAATTTAAATCTAAATTAGATTCAGAATTAAAGAAAACTATTAATTACTAAAAATATAGCAATGAAAAAAACTAAAAAATATTTACAAACTGAAGATTCTAGAAAATGTATCTTATAATTTTTTTATTTAAATTTTTAAAATATAAATAAATTGCTTTATAATTTATGATCTTTTAAATAGATAAAAAATAACTATAGTTTAATACTTATTAGGGGTTTATTTAAAAAATATAGAGTTTTTTAAAATTTGTTTTTTATAAAAAAAATATAATATTATTATTCCTTTCAATTTATTGCAAATATTAATAAAACTTTTATTCCTTTTAATTTATCTAATTTTTATTAAAGATAGCATTACAACTAGTTGTAACTATGTAATGCTTATTTATCACTAATTATAACCTTATGATGCTTATTTATCGCAAATTGCAATTAGTTGTAGCATTATCTTTAAGTTTTATACTTTAGAAAAATATGATTATAATATAGTTAATATTAAACTATAAAATATAAAAAAATTACATTTACAATTATGTTTAGAGCTCTGAATCAGATCAGGTCAACCTGTTTACCTGACCTAAATCAACCTGAAAATTCAGGTCAGATCAATAGATTTCAGGTTGATGTCAGATTAGGTCAATAAGTTGACCTGATCTGACCTAATAAAAATTCAAATCAATCAATCATTCTTCTTGAATAATTTATTATTGTTAAATTAGAAATAATAAAGTTAATTAAATAAATTAATAATTATTTATTATAATATTATTTATATTAAATATTTTTTTTTTTTTTTTTTTTTTTTTTTTAAAGTGCGGTAGTTCCACATAATCTTTATTATGATAAAAGTATAATAATAT